AAATTGCCGAATCTCCGCAAGCGCTAGAAAGCGGCACCGATAGACAGGGCACGCCATCTTTGTGATCATCACAACGGGGGGGGTCGTATTTGCCCGCGATGGAGGGGGGGTCGTAAACGCATGGCCCATGTTGAAGTGGAGAGAGCGGTGATACACGGTACAAGTGAAAAGAAGCTCAAAAGGGACGATGTAGATGACAATAAATAGAACTAGGCACTATCGAACTACTAAAAAAAAATATTGCTGAAACTTTTTCCTCCTTCCTCACAAAAAACTTCAAGACACTTCGCCCACCAACCCTCCTCATCTGGTCTAGATAAATCCCAATCCACTAATCCGCAAAATCTAGAAAAGAATCCAAAAGCTACCTATGAAACCGTAGAAATTGAATCCTGAGCAATTTCCTCACAACAAAATCAAACTCAACAAAAACAAACAAAATAATTCACAATCAAATGGATATAAAGAAAAAACTCAAGGCCAGCTGGGAACCGGAACTATGGATTACTTTTGAATTTTGGCTGTTCGCGGTCAGCGCGCTCATACAAGCTCATTGGTGCGCGCTATTTTACGGCCTGGAGCCAATTTCAAGCCAAGCACGTGAAAAGTGCCCCTAATTTGAACACCCATAACTTCGTTGAAAGTGAAGCTATCGGAGAGGGGTAAGTGGGAATGAGTAGAGCTAGGTTGGCTCTTGTCACCTGAATTGAGCGATTTCAAAAACGTTCCGATTCCAGAGATTTTCCCCGTTGTGATCATCGTTATGATCCCGTCTGATCTCTTCTTGTGGGCCAATACGCTAGATCGCCGAGTCTCTCAAATGGCCGAGTCACTCAACCTCCCAAATCGCCGGATCGCGAATCTCCTCAGTCACGCAATATGAACGCGGTTATGTATACAGAAGACACAAACCTGTAGGACAGCACAGCACGGGATAATCGCATAACCTTCCCGACTGACCAGACAAACGAAACCCTTCAACAGAACGGAGTAAGCTACCGAACAATGTCCCGCTTGTGCATCTGACTAGTTCATCAGAGAAAACGTTAGAATCTCATGATTCATTGACAATATGATGAGCAATACATCATGAACAGTTCAACATCAGTGACTGGAATATTTTCATTACTTATCACTACAAAGAACAGAATAGTTCATCAATGCTGCACAAACACCTACTTGTAATCAACAACAAGGACTATTAACAATTTATACAAACCGTGCAAGAGATAAATAAGCTATTAGAACTACTAACAACTTCCAACCCTATGAATAAAACTTTGCTAGATCGTCCACTTTTGGTGTTTCGGTCTTCAACTTCCAGTGAGTATTAACGTTTTTCAACCTTGCTGATAATAGAATTGGGTCGAAACTGAAAGTTTAAACACATAAGTTATTGAATGAATGAAAATATCCTCGCGGGATTATCCTACGGTAAACGAAGCAGTGCTGACGCGAGTGGGTTAATGATTGTTGTAATGGATATTCGGGCTTTCTGAGTTAAAGACAAGCCCCGGAATTGTATACTGTGGACAGTGGCATTCCATTACAGACCTATAGTCAAGCAAGTGACTCTCTAGGGGGGGGGAAAGCCAAAAAAGTCATGGATAACTCCCTTGGCGGCCTCACTCTGTGAGTTCGCTGGTCGTAGGGTGGAGCTGACAAGGGTCCTGAGAGGGTTATCAATCGTTTAATGACAGCAAAAAGATATACTGTTGCATTCGGCTCACCAGTCGTCTCTCTTCGCGTCATCCTATGCTATTACCATCAAACAGTGAACAAAAAAAAAACGAAAAACGCGGTGAAAGGACCGAACTCAAGACAGCAAGTACCCTCTGAGTTTCGGTGGGCGGGATAACTGGTCGGTCTCAGAACTGCCACTTATGAGGGCAGCAGCGCCTTTGTTACGTATTGTGAAGCCGCAACAGTGGTGGATAATATCACAAACTGTGGACCTAGTCCAACTGTACAATGAAGGACGCCTAGGAATTGGTGGAGCAGGGGACTGCCATTAAGAACAATGAA